ACAACAAGACGGAGTGGAAGTTGAGAGCACCTAAAGGACCATCATCACAGACTCTCTGCCAACATTCACCTGCCTGATGGTTGTTACTATTAAGTAGAAACAAATACAAGCCCCAGGGTACTGTTACAGAAGTGCTTGACATTTTTATCTTTTGTTTTATAATTTCATTCATTATCATTTACGTCAGCCAGGTGACAGATTGACACTTTGTTTTTTTAACATGTGTTTATAGCAATAAATAGTTAAACAGCCTGATGTGTGTGCGTGTTTGTGTGTGTTATGTGGCCGTAAGCTGCTGTTAGAAGCGCATGAAATTAAACACACACGCACACACGAAGAAGCAAACACATCCTCACTTGTCACGCTTTCACCTACACAGCATTGCCAGAGCAGATGGTGAACACAACCCTGGGTTCACTTCCTGAAACAAAAGAGAAACAAAGCAAGAGAGGGATGGAGGAGGGGGTAGAAACTGTCTCTCTCATCCCATGCTGTCTGTCCGAAAGCATCACTGTCAGCAGAAGACAATGCAGCACTGAATGATTAGCGCACACACACACACACACACACACACACAGGTATCGTCACTCATCCCCTCTCTCTCTTTTCCTTTCCACCCTCCTCTTCTTTTCTGTCCATATTTTCTCCCATTGTTCCTATAGAGCTGTGAGGAGAAACTCTACCCTATCCTCATCTATTGTCAGAAGCAATTTTCACCATCCTCTGCCTACTGAACTTATAATGACAAACTGACAGGAAGACTGCGCTGGCATATTGTTTGGCATCCTATAGAGAAAGCTCTGTGTGTGTGTGTGTGTGTGTGTGTGTGTGTGTGTGTGTGTGTGTGTGTGTGTGTGTCACGCGCGCACGGTTTCTTTTGGCAGATCCAATTCGGCACCCACTCTTTTACATTTTCCAAGAAGGGGATTCAATCAATCAGTTCAATTTATTTATTTCTGGACACAGAGTCTACAGAATGAAAAGATGGTGGGGAAAAACATGAAATAAAGAGTGTCACTCTCAATAACCCATTCTCAAAGGTGACACCAGTCACCACAAGTGTACAGCCTCTAATGGGATTAACTCATGCGTTAAATATGCTGTCCTATACATTAGTCTGTACATATGTAATTATCTAAACTGTACTGTACTGAATACTTAGTGCAAACATTCCTTATCTCTGCCTGACACGTGGGTACTGTACATTTGTGCTGACGAACATATGACTAACTACAAAATCCTGGCACAATAACAACAACACCCTCATGGGATCATTGTAAGTGACTGTATACTTTGTATACTGCTCTGGTAATTCATACATCACAGATAAGAGGTACACAATGGTATTCATTGTACAGCCAGCCAGAGTAACCAGCATTGTCAGCATATTTACTATCCATCAAATAAAACAATTATGATCTAGATTATTATTATTAATTATGATCATCTTTAGAGCTTCTCCACTTTAGGAGAACTGAGAAAATACAAAATGTTTTTATTTTTCTTCCATTACATTAAATCTAACCAATGTAGTAGCACTAACAATTCCACTCATGATTTGTTGCTGTGTAGCTGCGGAATCTAGCAGCTCGTAGCAGCAAACATCCCTGCAGGCCAAATTTCCCAGACATACATTTCAGCAACATCATTACACTCAGCTGTGACATGACATGAGGCAAATCTTTTTCAGGCTTCTGGCATGTTACTTCTCCAACCCAAGAGCTTCTTCAGATACACACACAATCTGTTGGCATCAAGATCAGAGGAAACACTGACCATCTTAGTCTTCACTTCTTATTCCACGTTTTCCAATAATACAATTATGTACAACAACTTTCATAATAGACTGAGATGTGTTTCAAGTGACACTGAAAAATCAAACACCATCAGGAGGTGTCATGAGATATCTCAGATGTCTGCTCCCCATTCATTTAAACATTGTGTTTTACTGCATGTGTTTATGTTATTATTTTATGTGGTCCATTATGAGGAAAAACAACCCTGTTAAATGTAAGGAGAGACCTCAAAGACTCCTTTTTGGATGCCTCTAGCTCTACGAAACTGAATCCATAGTAGTTAGGACATTTTGCTTTGAACTCAATGTCACCTGTCAGGTATATCTCTGTAAATTTCCCTTTTTGGTGCAGGCATGTTTACTCGCTGTCCCCACGATTCTGGGCTGTTTCCAACGCAGAGTGAGGTGGCACCTGGCCATGGCCTGTACGCTGCTCACCTGTCTGCCAGCTCTCATTACTAGTCAAGTTGCATCACAGCCCACTTATATTACATATCGTCTAGACTACTTCAGAGGCTGGATAATGTGTGATGCAAGTCTGTTCCACAACAAAGTGTTCGAGGTAAAATGTATAATACTTTATAAACCATATCAAAAGCTAAAAGACCATACATTTTTATACCACTCAGGCACACGTCTGAATCATTGTAGAAGACATGTTACATTATGTTGATATATTCAGTTTCTTTTAGTGTGTCCCTTGCTGTCCAAGTGGTCCAGACCACTTGTTTTTACAGTTATAGCACATGTAGTAGTAGAATGATCTGAGAAACAGCAAGTACTGTACTTTACTGTACCAATCCTGTAACAAACACAATTACTTAAACTAAAGAAATCCAGGCCAATAACACAAAATAATGTTTCTCAGCCTTGTCCAAATTAGCACCCAGTAAGTGCAGGTACATTTTGGATTTGGCATATACGACCCTCACTTTCCACCATACCTATTGTGTTGTCAGCAAATCAAATGAAAGCAGAACTAGATCTAATCGTGACTCTGAGGTTAGCTATGTTTCATCCCTCCACCCCACACAGTCAGACAGCAGCTGCTCATGGCTGATTAGCTCTGACTACTAATATTATATTAGTATATTCCTGCTACGCTGAGCGGTAGTCAGTCAGTCGGTGGTCGGTGTCTCCTTGCCCCCGTCAGACACTACGTAGTGAACGTAGTGAGCAGGGTTTTGAGAATAGGGGTGAGAAAGCCATGTCTGTGGATGAGGTGCTGGAACAATACGATTTAAACTGCGACAATGTATTTGATTGATAGTGTTATCTAATCATAAAAGTGATACTAAAGATGAGTTTGTAGACTACAAACTTGAGGTAATTATTTTTAGTCTTTCTCAGTTTACCTGCCATTGGCAGCTGAGCCAAACAGTACATTTTAGACCCTGTCTCTGAGATTTTAACTGATATCTACTGTTGTTTACGATAGACTCACTCGCACTTAGCATTAACTCTGTCATACCAAAAATAGGTAAACGTCATCCCTTCAAACAAGAGAAAAAATGTAATCTGGCCATTTTGCACTTTTCACTTTGGATGAAAAATGTATTTCCCTGCTAGTCTCGCAAAACAATTTTGCATTATTAACCTATTTTACCAGATGCAGGGCGACACAAGCACCCCCATTTTATCAGAGCTGTCTGCAGAGCTTTCAGTTGGCAACAGCCACAACACAGCCTAAAATGTAAAACTATTGTCAGATTGAGGCCAGATAGTGACATTAAGAGTTTTATAAAGTGTCTTTATTCAATATTAACACCATCAATTACAGGAGTGCTGAACAGTTAGTGCTACCTCCAGCCTGGTGTCTGACACCATCTCTATGCACACACCAAACATGTCTTCATACACACTGACACACACACACACACACACACACCAGTCTGGTTTCAGAGTGATCAGCAGAGCTTGGGAAGAAAGTAATGGCACTATATTTTATGTAAGATTCACAGCTGAGGCCACAAGAGTCAAACACACAAGTCAGCTCAGCAGCTGCACTGCTGAGGTCAAATCCGACTCAGACACTCTGCCCACACTGCAGAGCTGTCTCACCAAACCACAGAGAGAGGGGCAGAGAGAAGAGATAGAGGCAGAAAAAAAGTGTATAGGTGAGTGGGAGAGAAGCACAAGGGTCCTCTTCCATTCATGGCATTTCGAAAAGCATTAGAATTTGAACATCTGAGTATGTGTGAGCAAGACAGAAAAAGAGGCAGAGAGGTTTTAAATTTTTGTGAGACAGTATGTGTGAGAAACAGACAAAGTGTAAATGAACTGTGGGGAGAATGGAGACAGTGATCGAACAGACAAAAACTGTCTTTCACCAGGTAACAGACAGCATTTATTCATAAACGCTGTCAGGTTTGCTTGTGACATCCAGTGTGAATAAGCAGCTTCTGTATGACTTACTGATAAGTCTCGAGACTAAGGATCAAATTTGAAATGTGAAGCGCAAGCTCACTGAAAACATACTGCAGGCTTGGCAGAAGGTGCTTCAGATGGTGCTGGCAGGAATGGCTTTATGAAATGCCACAATATCACGGCAACAAAAGGCATTTTGTTGACGGGATTTTTAGGCAGAAAGGGGGAATGTTTTGGCTTTCAATAAAGCAGTGGGTTATCAACCGGATTTAAAGCTGCTTTCTTATATACATAAAATTACTCTTTAAAGCACTACGCAATACATTCTTCTGGGTTCAACATAAGTAGGGGCAATATGGTTGAAATCAGTGTTTAGATATTTTGATATGTATCATGATATGGCAAATGTGTTCAAACTCATATGAAAAATAATCATATTTAATGGAAATGACTTCTATTACATTGGAAAAAATGCTTCACATGTATAAAACAATGTAATTTTTTATTCCACTAAAAGTTGATTAACAATAATGATTTGGCCTGTTGCCAAGCCATCAATATATGGCTCTTTCTAGGTAGCGTGTACCTCTATTAGATTTTTATTTGTGTGTTCTTACCATCTTTACTAAACTTTGAAAGGAGTAAAATAATTACACAACAAAGGAACTGAGCTGCATCCAAAATCACAAATGTGTGGACAACTCAACTCTAATGAAAAATATAATCAGAAACACTACTAGCACAGCAACACATACAAACAAGTGGAGGAAAAAACTACACCTAGCCGAAGCTTCACTAAACCCTGCACATCATACACACACCATACACACACACACACCTGTACTTCATGCCAGTGTGTTTCCCCGTTGACTCCTTGAGTGAAATGTGGCGTGGAGTGAAGGAGCCGAAGCTGCGAGCAATGATGGCTACGGTGCGGAACTTGGCCCTGGCTTGGTTCACCACGTTGGGGCTGGTGGCGCTCTGCTTGCTGTGGTCCCCATTGCCCCTCTTCAGGTTGTGGTCCGTGCAGGCGATGGACACCTGCATGGCTGAGCTGTAGTCGAGGGAGCAGAGCTTGAGACGAAGAAGAAAAGTATAGATGGGACAGATTGAGTGGAAATGGAGAGACCGGCAGGGGCAACCTGAAGTCTCAAAGAGCTGATTCAGCGTCTCGTCCTCTTTTATTCGAAGTCAATTCTTTTGCAGTTCTTTTGTCTTTCTTTGCAAATGGATTAAGTCTTCAGTTGCTCACTTCCAAATACTGGGTAAAATAAAGCAAAATAAAGCTGCAAAACCTTTTACTCTCACAACAAGTCTTCCATTTTAAGTCTTCTCTTTGTAGAAGAGAGGCAGCGGAACAGGTCAACCATCAAAAGCCTGAAAAGAACAAAAGACTCCTCAGTTCTTTGAGGGACCCCCAATTTATTCCCCGACCGGTCTTTCCTTCTCCTGTGTCCTGCCTCTGATGCCGAGCTCAAGGAATTTTCTCACAGGGTTTCAGCTGCAGAATGACAATCGGAGGAGCCGAGGACAGTGCAGAGGGATGGCAGGGAGCGAAAGAGAGACAGACAGAGAGATGCAACCCAGCCGCTCCACTCTCCTTGGTCCGACTGTGGGAAGACAGAGAGAGAGCGAGAGAGAGAGAGAGGAGAGAAGGGTGAAGGAGGAGGGGACAGGGTCAGAGAGGAAGGAGGAAACAAGGGCAGGAGTCACTATCGGGTCCTGGCACCGTGCACCATCACACCTCTACCTCTGCCATCAGCACTTTCCCCCGCTCTTGTCGCTTCTTCTGCCCCTCTCCTCGCTCTTCTTCTCCTCCTCCCTTTGCTCCTGCTTGCCGATGTTAATGTGTATCACTAATGTGCTTGTGCCCCAGTTTCCCTCTCTTTCTCTCCTCTCCCATTCTATGATTCCCCCGCTCCCTGATATTTGTTCTCTATCCGATATTTGGATGCTCCGCTCTTTTTTCCTTTTTCCTGTTTTTTGTTTTTCTCAGCAGGGAGGCTACTTTGCCGTCAGCGCACCTACAGGGAACTGAGAGTCATGTGGTGCAACACAGTTCTATCTCTCTCTCGCTCTCTCAAACACACACCGTCTCTCTCTCTCTCTTTAGACTCCTACTCCCTCTCTCACTCACTCTCCCCGTTTTCTCACCTGACACCCATCTTTGAAGGTTCTTTCCTCCCCAATAATTAAGTTACCCTTTATTCCCTCTGCACTATACACAATATTCTCTCTATGGTGTTACTTCTTCTTCCCCTCTTTTTTTCCTCTAGTTTGTCTACACACGTAGTAAATATTTGCGTCCTTCAGCTGTTGTAGCACGATACATCCTGCTGCTATAACTGTGCCACTTTTTGGCAGACATTTACTTTAAAATTCACTATATATTGAAAGACAACATATATATACTGTAATTGGTGAATTGAATTAGTCTTGTTTAAGTTGCAACTTATTTTGTTCATTTTTCTGTATGTGTGCACATACAGTTTGTGCCAGTCAGAAAGATATATTTGCTGACAAAGTAATATCTTTCCCCCAAATCCCCTGACACACTGTACATACAACATACAATCGCCATAGGCAGCTACAGATCAAAGGGAACGAGAGAAGGATGGATGGACAAGAGGGGGGAGGTGTGCAGAGATTGGAATCATGTGAAAGAAAATGACTAAAAACAGCAGGCTGTGGTGTAACAGATGATAAGAGAAGGAATGATTGCATCTGTGTTTGATTACAAAGTCAAAAATGCGGTACCACAGACAATCTACAAGCAAGACAATGTGGTCGTAAATGCCGTAGAAATGTCATGCTAACCCCGGTGTTATCAGTCTGGTTTGTCTTTTAAAATCAACATCCAAACTGGAGGCAAGGACAAGGAATTAACTAGATTATTGCTTTACCGAAGAAACATAGGACACATAGGACAGCTGTAACGTCAGTGCACAACAATAGATATGGGTATTGTCTGAAAGTGCTGATACAATACTTTTTATGATACTTTACTTTGAGGACTATAATATGTTTTTATACAAAAATATGTACCTTTTTTAGCCACACTTCTGGCCACTGGTCGATCTTCCACTTTGGTTCACACTGAAATATCTGGATAGACTGCCATGAAATATTGTACAGATAGATGGTCCCTAGAGGATGAACGCTTAATGAATTTAGATAATCCCTTGAGTTTTCCCCGAGCACCACTATCTCTTTCTACGGTGGACATTTGTTGTTTGGAATTAAATGTCTCATCAACTATTGGACAGATTGCCATGAAATTTGGCACACACATCCATGCCACCATCAAGATGGATTGTAATAACTTTGATGATCCCTTAGCTTTACATCTAGCAGCACCATCAGGTCAATGTTTTAATTTGTCCAATACTTACAACTACCACACACTACATGCAAAACTAATAACACCCCCATCAGCATCAGATGTAGGCTACTTTGTTTAGTGCTAATTAGCAAGTGTTAGCATGCTAATGTGGCATATAGGACATTTATAGAAAAACGCCCACTTGTGTGTTATTTTATAGGTATGCACTGTATTGTGCATGTTTACAGACACCCCCCCCCCCTCCCCCTTTCAATTTTCAACAGTTCTATTTGCAGTTAAAAGGGCACACGATCACTGCGGGTATATAAGCTGTGGGTTGCGCTGCGTTCTTTAGTTGGCAGTTACCACAAGAAAAAAGTAAAAAAAACAGCTGAGGACCAGCCAACTCCTCACCTTCCATTTCATTTATTCTTTAAGAGCAAATCTTTTCTAAAATATGTTAACCCTTGAGTGAACTTGCACTCTATGGGTGTAACATATTTTTGGTGAGCCACAGCCAGGAAAGCTACGGCCAGCAGCGGTAGCACTCCAGTGAGACGATCCAGAATCTTCTAACTACCATTACCTTCACCACCAACAGTTACATTACATCTATGTTATTACAAGAAAGAACAACAAGAACAGAGGTATGGATCCTTTACTGACTGAAGTCACGGCCATCCTATACCAATTGGACCACTCACTCATTATTAAAGTATCTGAGTACACAAAATGTTTCATGCCTACTGAGGGAGGGGTTTCTCCAGCAAAACAAAGAGAGGGCCCATTAAGACCATACAAAGCAAGTTGGAGTAAAAGAAAAGTGATAAAGAACATGTGTGTGTATATACCTGAAAGGCCTAATCACATACATGGAAGCGATGAGAGAGGTGAGCAGAGGGCCAAGCAACACTGCACCTGATCAAAGCCACCTTTTCAGTCCCAAGCAGCAGGATGCCCCGTCAGCATGTGAGCATCATCCCCCAGCCACCATCCAACTGAGGAGATAAGAACCAGCACTCCACATTACATACATGTGCCTCAAGTCATGCTCCAGAGGGAATTTAAGATCATGGGAAGGAGGACAAAAAGACAAGCTGTCCTACACAAGTCTAGTCCACCAGATTGAAGCAGCCCAGGACACTGCCAACCATCTTATGTTGGAGCAGCTCGGATGTCTATGAGAGGAGACAAGTGTTCCTGGCAACCATGCAAGCAGCCATCTAGCACTCACAGAGACCATGCACCTCTCACCAGATCACTTATTAGCCAGCAGCGACATCAAGGCCAGACAACAGGCAGAGACCCAGGGGTTGCACAGCATGTCAGCAGGAACATAGAGGAGATCACTTTGACCACTGTTTCTGCTGTGGCAAGTCTGGCCATGTCTCATGCAGGGGTAGGAGGCCAAGGCAGATGGGAAACAAGAATGGGCTGCTGAGAGGGGACCACTAGTAGCTCGAGACCCCAGGTCCCACCATAAACCGACAAGAAAGAGACAGCATTTACCCCTACACATGTGCACCAAAACCCTTATATGTACTACATCAAGCCGCACCGAAAGACCAAGTTAGTGAGCCTCATTGGAAAACAGTGTCCGGTGAACTGCAGAATAGATGGTGTCGCAGTGGAAGGTCTGTGGGACAGTGGAGCGCAGGCCACTGTCATCCCTGAGGACTGGAAGGCTTAACGTCTCCCGCACACTATCCACAGGCCCCTCATAGAACTCCTGGGAGCAGAGACAGTGACCGGGTTAGCAGCTAACCAGACTGAAATTCCTTTAAGTGGCTGGGTAGAGGTGGAGTTTAAGTTGTGCAATAGAGAGAGAGAGAAACAGAAACCCTCGCTGTCCCCATCCTTGTGTCGGATGAACCCGGTGTGGCAGAGAGACCTTTAATAGGGTACAATGTCATCGAGGAGGTGGTTAAAGCTCAGAGCCCTGGTTCCATAGTAGACCATTTAATTATCCAGACTGTCAGTGCTTCCTTCTCCATCAGACCCAGGATAGCCAGGATGGTGGTGAAACTTATTCAGACCCCAGACCTACGTGAAAGTGTTGGAGTGGTGACAACTGGCCGCAGAAAAGTCAGCTTGTCTGATAATGAGGTGAGAACCATCTCTGTGCCAGCCATTCAGTCTGGCCACTACATGCAGAGGTAAAGGAGTATCTCCAGGACCTGCTGAACAAAGGTTGTATCACCCATTCTAGGCAAGGCAAGTTTATTTGTATAGCACATTTCAACAAGGTAAATCAAAGTGCTTTAAACAAAACATAAAAGCAACAGGGAAATATAAAAAAGTTTAAAAGCAACATCGGGAAATTGAACAAACAAATCACTAATAATAAAAGTTACAGTGCAGTGTACAATCTGGGTTAAAAGAGTTAAATGGAAAATAAAAACTGAGGGCTGGCTGAGGGGTTGAGCAAATTACGAGTTACAATTATTTTGAAAAGAGAATAAGCAGAGAGGTACAATTAATCGACTCTCTCTAGCTAGTCTGTACTCGGGTCCATAGCAATCTTTGGGTCCACTGAAACTCCAAAAACCCTCGGACACTACAGAGAAACCAGGACATGTCTGTCCGCAGGCCACTTTGATCCAGTTATACTCTGGACCCACTTGTGCGTTTACAGGTGGACAGAGGTTCCTGCAAATCACTCAGGCGTGAGATTTAAGACCACTTCCTTCACTCTGTTCAATCTCACTCCCATTATCTTTTCACTCAATTACCTACTCATTTCTCATCGTATAAATATTTAATTAAAAGCAATGTTGAAAAGCTAAAAACAAAGAACAAGAAAACAAGACAGTAAAAGTTACAATGCAGTGTGAGTTATCAATCTACTAGTTAAAGGCAGTGGTAAAAAGAAAAATCTCAAATATTTAATTAAAAGCAATGGTAAAAAGAAAAGCCTTAAGTCTTAATTTAAAAGAACTGACAGTTTCAGCAGACCTGCAGTCATCTGGGAGTTTGTTCCAGATATACGGAGCATAATAACTGAACGCTGCTTCTTCCGTGTTTAGTTTTGACTCTGGGGACAGAAAGCAAACCTGCCCCCCTAGTGCTTTATAAACTAACAGCAGGATTTTGAAATCAAGTCTTTGACATACAGGAAGCCAATGTAAAGATCTCAGAACTGGAGTGATGTGATCCACCTTTCTGGTCTTAGTGAGGACTCGAGCAACAGCGTTCTGAATCAGTTGCAGGTGTCTGATGGATTTCTTACGGAGCCCTGTAAGGACACTGTTACAGTAGTCGAGTCGACTGAAGATAAATGCAAGTTTTTCCAGGTCTTGCTGAGACATAAGTCCTTTAATCCTTGATATATTCTTCAGGTGATAGTAGGCTGACTTTGTAATTGTCTTAATGTGACCCCTCAAATTCAGGTCTGAGTCCATGACTACACCAAGATTTCTGGCTTGATTTGTGGTTCGTTCCTCCCTGGCTCCAAAATAACTTAAGTTTTATCTTTGTTTAATTGAAGAAAATTCTGGCACATCATTGACCTGCTCAATACAGTTACTCAGCACTTGTTTGGGATTATAGTCCCCTGGTAAAATGGTTATGTAAATCTGTGTGTCATCTGCATAATTATGGTACATATATATTTTGTTGTTTTTCATAATCTGAGGAAGCATGTAAATGGAAGCATGTAAATGTT